CTGCTCCGGACGCAGCTACACGGCCTGTTTACATGCACAGTTTGTTGCACACATACGCTTACACGGACAGACAGTGGTACATGCAGGTCCTGTTTGTCCATTACTCGAAGGAATTTAATTATAACTTCTGTAACTAATTTCCGTTTTTGGCAATTTGGCAGGCGGATGTGTGCCCCCACATATGGACGTATGCATAAAGCATAGCAAAAGGCAGAGAAGCCGAGGCCCCATCACTGGGAATTGAGCTGCACAAATTAATATTTAATGCAACCAGACGCACAGTTTCAACTGCTGTTGCCAACTACTCATTGAATATAACGCATACGCAACGATGGACGCTGTCCAGAGACAAAAACACACAAAGAGAGAGGTGGGCTGAGTTGGAAAAAGTTAGAGCCTGCTGTGACAGCAATGAACACGTAGCTGGCATAAACATCATCATCAGCGGCATCAACATTATCATCAGTGTCATTTACGTGACTTGCCGTGTCCATTAAGCCGGCAACAGGATGGCAAGATGGCAGTATGGCCAAGCAACGTGACCCAAAGGATTACAGCGACCCGGGGAGTTATTAGACCTATCAGCAGCAAGGTACACCAGCACCAATAACATAAATATATATACAAGTATATTATATATATATATATATATATATATATATGTATAATAAAAAAAATTATTAAAAAAAAAAACAAACAAACTTTTTTCTGCTCTCAGAACTTTGGCCTTGGCTAAAACCGCGCCACGCAGCTTAACCCCACTTAGGAGTGCGGTGGCGGGGGGCTAATTTAAAGTTTGTTTTATTTTAAATAAAATATTAAACAAGAAGAGCAAAAAACACCACCCAGCTTGCAAAGGGACACTCGAATTTGAGCGCTGCGCGAAAAATTTTTATTTGCACTTTTGATAAATTAATTAAAAGTGAAAAAGGGCGGCAAATCTTTAAAATAATTAATTAAATAAACGGGCGACATGGCAAACAAATAGCCCGCAAAAGCAAAAGTCGAAAAAAAAGCGGAAGCAACAACAACAACAAACATAAAAATAGCTGTGGATGAAGAAGGAATACTGAATGCCAAATGATGAATGCGCCTCAAAGCGAACTCTGAGGCTGGGGCTGAGTCAAAGCCTGAAACGAACTGAAATTATGGCAACCAACTGACACAGAAATCCATTTTTCATTTTCAACCATAAGCATAGAGAGGCGGCTGCCGCTGGGCGTGGCATACGAACCGAGTTGAGGTGGGTTGGGGCTTGGCTAAGTGTATGTGTGTGTGTGTGTGTGTGGAGGGCTGGCCTAACAGGACCCAAGCCTTTGCCTACTTATTTATGAGCTTGTATGTTGGTAGTTGGTCAAACAAAAAACGACGCAACAACAACAACAACAGCAACACCATCTACCAAAAAAAGGGTTAGAGATTACAAACGAAAAAAATAAATAGAAAGAAGCAGCAGCAAACATGCTACTGATATTTGTTGTTGCCCATTGTAGATGCTGCCGTTGTCGTCGTCGTTGTTGTTGTTGTTATTTTCTTGATGCGGCTGGTGAGTGTAAAATATAACAAATATAAATCGAGGCCTGCTCGACTTTAAAATGCTCTAACTGCAAGTTCGAAACATGTTTTGATTGCAAAGCAATTGAGCCTAGTGCAGGGCTCTCTAAATGGATTGGATTGGATTTCTTATTATGCAATGCAATTGTTTCTGCTAATGAATATCTACAAGAGTGTTTTCTATAATATTTTAATACAAAAATTATAATAATAAAAATAAAATTTTAAAATTATTACAATAAAAAATTAATAGTTAATTAAAAAAAGTTATTCCTTAATTTTGTTAACTAATTTTTTTATTTCTAAACATTTGCTGGACAAAATCCAATCTTTTCACAAATTTATGTTGAATATATATTGAAAGACAATATAAAAGCATAAAAATAAATTTAATATTTAATAACAATATAGCTCAATCAAATTTTGATAATAAATGAAAGGAGTAGACTATTTGAAAAGATACAAAATGCATGCAAGGCTTACAGATGGTATATAACTCAATTTCATTGTAAACTTTTATATCAATATTTTATATTATTGATTAAAGTTGTACAGTACGCAAAAATAAAATATAATATAAACTGATGGCATTGAGAGTTAACTAGGAGTGACTGAAGCTGCCTTTGGCTTGCAGCTTGAAGTCAAATCTGTTAAGGAATAAAATTGTAGCTTGACTCTACGACATAATGCTTGAATATGAGCACAAAAGATCCAGATTCTATTGTGTTTATAATTAACCCTATAGATGCCCAACAGATTGACAAAAATAGCATGTTGCTTATAGGACTAGGGCATCAGAAATGCTCAGTCAAAGACCTTTTCTTTTTCTTCTTATTTGCCCCTTTTTTGCTTATGGCTTTGGTCTTGGGCGGCTTTTGTCTGGGAAATTGCGTATACGCCTGGTAGCGCATAGCAGCCAGTGTGTGTGTGTGTATGTGGCATGCAAACAAAAGGCGCTTGTCTGTCAGCTTCGAACTTGAAAATAAAAAAAATAGGAGAGTAGAAATTTCACAAAAATGAGTTGTAAATGTCGAAAGTGCTTGATATGCCGTAGACAATTTTCAAATGTCGGCAATCTGCAAAGCAATTTGAGAAAACTGAAAAAAGAAATGAGGAAAATATGCGCTATAATTTACACACCAGGCCAGTTCCTTTTTTGCAACATATTTGTTGGCTGTTGTTGTTCTTTCTCTTTATATATACATATATTTTTGTATATTTTTGCCATGACAACTCTTCGGGGAAAGGCAGTGGCAGTGGCAGTGGTAGCCCGGCTGCTGAGCCCGGCTCTGTGGCTCTGTGGCCTGGGCCATGTTTGTGTGTTTTGGCTGTAAGCAGCTGTCACTGATTTCTGACAAATTGATTTGACAGTCGACAGGCGACCAGCTGAACGGGTCTAAGGGGAGAGGGGAGTAGACTGGCAGCCCTGGCAGCAAGTCAGGCGCGTGTGCTAAAAAAAGATGAAAGCTGTCTGTTGCCGTGACTGTTACCATGGTCTATGCAATGCGTAAGAGTCTTGTGGCAAGGCTGCCCAGCCGAACTGAACGCCGTAAGAGAGCCAAAGAGTTGCCGTTGTCAAAGAGCAGAAGCGTGGTGAGTATTTTCAGTGCTTGGATATGTCTGTGTGCGGGTGTGCGAGTGTACACATGTCCATTGTTATTGTTTTGTTGTGCGACATGGCAGAAGTCTTACAATTTAGTTGCAGCCAGTTACCTGCTTGATTGACATACAACAAACGTTTGACTGACTAAACACATGCAGCGAACTTCAGCCAGAGCGCACAAAAGCAAAGAAATAAAAACCAAATCGAAAAGAAGAATGCTGAACCGCTGGGAAAACGCCATTAGAGTGGCAGCTGCCAGGCCACGTCTGTCAGCTTTTTATTTATAAACTGTGCAAATAAAATCAGTAAAACTGCAGCAAAATCCCACAGCTAGCCGAGTTATATGGCCTAGAACTTGTATATGTGGGCATCGCTGCCCACAAATCAAACAATTAATTTTGCTGTCTGAAATTCCAGCAGTAAATCAACAGTCAAACAATTGAACCATTTAACTATGTAAATAAAATTAATACGAGCAAAGAATACAGCTGACGCTGGGAGAGTGGGCAGTCATGGTCACCTTATGGTCCAGAGTCCACGAAAAATCCATTAAAAAGCAATCAATATATGGAAAACAAATGCCAGTCACTTGTGAGCAAGCTGCCCTTACCAATCTACCTCTCCCTTTCCGTCGCTCTCTGTGCCGCGCTCTCTCCATCTAGCAACACAGCAAAAATTGAGCAGAAAATGTAAAAAAAAATCGCTTGCGAAACACAAAAATTTGAAGCCTGCGAGCAGCGGGCGGCACAGAAAAAATCTTTAAAAAACGACTCTTAATGACCACGACCCCCAAGACAAGGTGAAAGTGAGAGTGAGAGAGAGGTGCACAGCGCGTCAGCTAGTGGGAGAGAGCGAGAGAGTGAGCCAAGACTAGGTACAAGGCTGCGCTCAGACCCAAAAAATGCAAGTGCGAAGATTGTGAAGGAGGTCGAAGCGACTGCGTAATGCCCTACAAAAGTAACTGAGAGCTGAACTGAAAGTATAATTATATTTATTATATAAAATTTATTATTGATCTAAATATATCGTTACAAATAAGAGCGAGGCTCTAAATGGTTTTTATTTTTGTTTTTGTATTTTTTACTATATTTTCTCATTTTTAAATTAAGTATGCTTGCGTCATGAATTGCTGCCTCTTTAATTATCCAAACAGAAACTTTGAACTAGAACTAGAACCAAATTATAATCAAGCGGCTAAGATTGTAGAGGTAGAAAGTTTTTCCCCTCTTAGCTCTCTGACAACAGGCAGCCAGAAGACTAAGAAAATATACCCATTAACATCTGTTAAGCAGAGTAGCGCTATTTTATAGGTATATACATTCATATATATAGATATGTGAGTGTACCTCGGTGAGTTGCCATTTTTGCTGATTTTAGTTGAGCTCAGCCTGCGCCTGGTGTTGACCTGATTTTCCGTGACGTCATTTGGCCCACAATCTGCTGCTGCGGCCGCGGCTGTGGCTGCTTCTGCTTCTGCTGCTGTTACTGAGAGCTAGCCTAGTCACACATACAACCAAATGCATAGCTGGGTAAATGGGTTGATGCTAAGCATATGATCCACAGCTAGAGCTCAAGTTGGGTCATGTAGTGGGATTCATTTGCTGAAAATGCATGAAAAATTGATTGATTTTCACTCAAAAATAATGCAATGAACTTACGAAATCTTTCTGACACTGAGATATTCTTTGTCTCTTTAATACAATTAGTATAACATTTGTATAAAATCGTATTCAATTTTAAGTTACAAGGCATGTAATATTATCAGACAGAGATAGAAGAGGGTTAGCCTGTGGAGCAACAATCAGTGAAGTAGAAGAAGACATGGGAGATTTCAGAAAACGGGTTTTGGAGGTGATCACAGCTTTAATTGTTCATACTTGTTTACATTTACAGATTACAAGACAATATACTCTGATTCGGTTGAGATGGTACTTGTTGTAGATAACGCTTGGATTTTGTACGTTCTGATCATGTTAATACCTTCGCATAAACCCTTTACATCAGTTTACGTCCACAGCTCTCTCATGTCTTACCTTCGACATGCAGCAAATTTTGCCTCGTAAAATGCAAATAGTTTTTACCATCGATTGGTGATTCCTGGGGCAGACCTTTACTTCCCGACATTTGCCGCCGTTCTTGCTGCACGAAACCAGGTCTGCAATGGAAGTACGATATTATTGACAATGACCAGTGCAGGAGCTGGGCATCTTACCCGATTTAGAAATGGCGCGACAGGTGAGGCAACCGCCAACCAGCAGCAAAACAACCAGCAGCATCGCTGTCCATTTAACCGAGCCCACACTTTTCAAAGTCATTTGTCAAAGGGCTCAGTATTTTAATATATTTTTAAACTAAACAAACAAACGTTGAAGGTTATTTCATGACCAAGTGCTTAATATGACTAACTCCGGGCTGGGAGCTGGTACAGCATTAAATTGAAACTTCTTAATTAAAAACTTGCAGCTGAGCAAAATAAAACATAAATGTGGAGCGCTTGGCAGAACGTTAGGAACGGGTATGCTCGACTACTTGATACGGCTGTAAAGCAGATTTTTAAATGGTTATCTATAGATATCGAAGGTGGCCGCTAAAATATCGATAGCTATCGATAGTATTATTTATTAAATATTTATTCGGGTTGACGCTGTATCGATTGCCAAATAGAGCTAGAGAAATTATAGCACAACTGCTGTCAACTATCGATAACACTGTGTTCGGCTCTTTCACAGCAGTGTCGTTGATACTGTCTGTGCTTAGAAGAGAGTCTGTTGTGGAGATTAACATATATGTCGATAGCAGTTTTTGTATCGTTACCCCAAATATAAACTGCCTGCATTAATGGAGAATGTTCTGCCGTAAGCCCCATTTGCATGTTAGCCCTAGAGGTGCACTCTTATGCGACACTCTCGCTTATTCATTTGAATGGCTGCAGGGTATACGAGCTGCAAACTGCCCGGATGTTGGGACACCTTTCAAGCTGCAAATCAGTGTAAAGTAAAATAAACCGCTTAAGGACTTGCGACTTGGCGCTTTCAAAATAACAAGAAAACTGCCTCCAGTCAGTTCTAGCACTTGGACACGAATCCAAGTCCAGGCTTCGGGTGCTGTTGCTGCTGCTCTCTTACGGTTGGTGTCTGAAGCCGTGGCGGAAACGCCAGACGGATACGGATGTGCTGGCCCGAGCATTGGTTCACCGCAGCGACCAGTGAGCAGCAACAGCGTCAGTCGAGGCACTGGGAAAAAAATTCAATTAAAAGCAACAGCACGTAACTGAAACTTTTTTTGCTGCTTCTTTTTATTTTTACTTAATTCTTTTTCCTGTTTTTTTTTTTGCTCGCAAGTTTTGTATCTTTTGGACTCTGTGTGTGTGTTTTTCTTGGTATAGCAGCTGCCCTTAGGGCGCAGACAGCGCAGCTTCAGTTGGGCCAACTCCCGCCCCTCTACATATAGACCGAGTTATAAGTTGGTGCCAGCTGTCAGTTGCTCTGTGCGCTGCTTCAAAGTTGCAGCGGTTTATTTTCTTTTCGCCTCGCTCTCTCTTCAGTACAGAGCATTCTTTCTATTTCCCTTTTCCCCTAGTTTTGGTTGTGTTTTTTGGGCGAAAATTGAATGGCTGCAGCTGCAAATGGTGGCTATCAGTTATTGGTAGTACATGTCCAATAAAAGCCAAAAGTTCATATTGGCTCGTTGTCCACTGCTGCCAACTTGATGCTTCAGCTAAAGTTTCTCTCCTTTTTCAGACTCCAGCAGCATATTAAATATTTGACAGGCTGCAATCGACGGCAATCAATAAATGTGAATTGAGATAAACGCGAATAGCTTTATCTTAATCAGTTGAGTTTCATACAGAAGTAACTAGCCGCTTTCTAAACTATACAGTAGGCCAGCTAAAACTTTTGCCCTGGGCTACAATTTCTTTTCCGAATAAAGGCAATAAATAAAACTTATCTTAGCTAATATTGATATTTATTATAATTAACTGAATAGAGGCACACCAGCTGAAGTGTTTCATTAGAAGCTGAAACTGAATCTTTGCAAATACCTATTTTAGTTTCTGAATCGATATAGTTATTTAATAAGCTAAAAACTCTATTATATCTTTGTCTATAAAACCCACATGAAAACTGATAACAACAGATGGCATACATCCAGACTTTCATTATAATTTGTTGCAAGTTTTTCGACGTTTCACTTTCAGCTGGTTTAATTGGATATGAAATATTTATTTTCAAAAGTTTTAAAGCACATAAGTGCTGTCGGAAACTAGGTCATTAATGTTCTACAAAACCACATATAAAAAGAGTTCGACTTTCAGCTCGTGCCAGTGCATCCACCATAATTATTATTTTAGTTAAAATGAAACCTGGCAAACTTTCTACGTTATAAACAAAAAAATAGTTTTACATTTCATGAACTATTTACTCGTGGCTTAAATACACATAATACACTTTAACTATCTGCGTTAGTTATGCAACGTGTTAACTACCCTTTCTGCAGAAGCCCTCTTCACATAAAGTTCGCTTGAACTGCCCTGATACTGGAACATCTAATTATGGCTCTGTTCGTTCAGCTCTCCAACTATTTCTACTCTGGCATTTTTGCTGTGAGTAAATTTATATATACATAAATGCGTAACTACATGCTTGCGGCTATGATATGAGAAGATGGTTGTGCCCAACACCTCGGCTTGGGCTAATTTACTAGCCCCCCGCCTGCCATTGCCCACCATAACACTCAACTCATTTATCTGCATCGCCTGCTTATCTCGCTGTCTGCGTGTGTGTGTGTGCGTGTGTCCCATAGGCGGCCAGTCGAGTGGCCTCTCAACATGGAAGCAACACTTGGCATTATAGCGCCTCGGCCCTTACCTCTAATGAAGCTCAAATGTTGATGTAAAAATTTAATTTAGTTCCTAATCCGAGCCACACACGATTGCGCCACGCCTATGCCATAGCGTCTTCCTTTTTGCTGCTTTTGTTGTTGGTATGTCCAAATGTTTATGCAACGTGTGCGTGGCCAGATGCGTGCTAACCTAGCTAATGTGTGCGTGACATGGACCCGAGGGCCAATGGGCAATGGCCAATGCTTGGATTCTGCGTATGCGTCATATTGCGTATACGCAGCGTGAACTCTGCTGCTGCTGAGGATGCTACTGCTGCTGTTGCTGTTGCTGTTGCTGTAGCAAAAATAATAAATGATTCGCCACGTACATGTATTAAAAACAATGCGCAGAAAAACGCTGACAGGCTGCCGGTGCCGCTCATCGCCCCTCGCCATAAAAGCCACAACACAAAGCAAAGCTAACAAACTGAGGCGACCGGCGACCGGAATGAAGCGTCAACCCCATTGAATGTTGCCCGCCTCTTGTTGTTAGCGTTTTATGTTTGGCTGCCACAATGCAGCAGCAGCAACAGCAGAAGGCAAAACTAACAAACGACAGGCAGCAACATCAGCGTGTCCTGGTCTAGAGCACGATGGGCGTTTGGATTGGGCGAGGGGACTGTGCCTGCTTGTTTATGGCTTTGTTTGCACTTTTGTTTATGGGGTGTACATTTTAAACGCCAGGTGACATGTCCATGTCTGTGTGTGGGTGTCTGTGAGTGTGTGTGTGTGGAAGTGTGCTTGCATGTGTGACGGCTTGGACATGGCTATGGAGTAGCTGGCAACTCCTGCCGGACAGTTGCGCTGATTTGCAGCGTCCATCAAAAGCGCCTGTTTGACATTTAATTGCGGCACATTGTTGTTGTTCTTTGCTTGCTGACCACCATTACCATCACCATCATCATCATCATCATCATCATCACCTTCGGGAAAAGCAGCAGCATTATCATTACCGTGATCAACTCCATCAACAGGCTCGTCCTTGTTTTGTTTGCCTTGGTCTGATGTTTTTAAGCTCTGCGGCCAACTTTTGACACGCAGCGCTAAAGCCGAAAGCCAAAGTCATGCGACTTTATTGCACATTTCACGGCAATGCGACAAAGATTACACAGAAACCAACACACACACACACACACGCACACTTTTGCATGCACTGCCCTTGTCTACGTATGTAAGCTGCGCTGCTAGGGCTGGGCAGCGATGCGTATCTTGTGTAAACGCATTTACAAGCTAAAATTGTTTTTCGGTTTAATGTATTCCTGTGAGCTGCTCTTTAAAATATAGCAGGCTCTGTGAACTTTTGATAAAAATAATCAAACATAAAAAACAATTGACTGTAGAATATAACAGAAAATAGAGAAGAATTCGACTTGTTATTTGAAGAATATCTATGAACTAATTTATACTTAAGCCAGCTGAATGTTTCGCTTCATTTGAATTAGCTGAAGTCTTAGATACAAATACATAACAGAGCACATACTGCAGTCTACAATTACAATATATATTTATTATATTTTGCTTAACCATTGCCATCAAGATAAGAGAAGAAAGAAAAAAGCGTCTTGGAGTTCTAAAGATATATCTAAATGATTGCAATTAGTAGCCAAATCGAGGTAACCCTGTCAGACTGTCTATCTATCCGACAGTAAATCTGCCTGTCAGTGTGTTGCCTCCACTATCTGTGTTCAGTGTTAGATAATTGAATACCGTATATAAAAGCGTTTACCCATCTGTAAACTCTTTATTTATTTTTCGAACATGTGAAAAGTTTTCCTTTGAAAAATGCGTTCATTTTTCCCGGCTAACTTTATTGTTTTATAATTGATTTAAAAGCTCTTGAAAATAAATGAGTTTACGAGGTTTTTAAGTGTAATTCGTGCCTAAATCTCTTTGACTAAACGATAATTACTGTGACCGAGAAGTTGTTCAACCCTGTGACAGATGCGCTCACATTTACACTCACTCACTCGCTCGCAGACACACACCGGCCGACAGGTAAAACTTTAAAAAGTTTACACGTGTTGGCAAACGTTTTGCGGTTACATTTGCCAAGCTTTGCACCAAAAAAACTTTGTTTTTGGCGCATTTTCGTTTTCTTTTTGTTTTTGGATTTGCCTTGCTTAATTTCAGCTGTCGCAGTAGCTGCCTTTGCGACTTAGCGTTGAAGCGTACAAACACAGAGAGAGATATACACGCATGCTGACCATTTTCTAATGGCCCTTTCGTGGTCAAGCATTTAAGCTTCAACCCTGACCATAACCTCAACCTCCACCCCAATCTCCTTTGGCTCGACCCGGCTCGGCTTGTTCTGCTTTTGTGCAACCGCAAAAGTCGCAATATACACACACTTACTCACACACACGCACGCATACATATTGTACACCTTTTTCGACCATTTTGCACACGATGTTTTGTGGTCGTGTTGACATTTTAAATGCCTTTTCATTTGTCTGCGCTCTCTCTCTCATGCTCACTCTCTCATTCTCTGTTAGCCCTCGCTAATTTCCTGCCATTTGCGCTTAAATGCCGCAAAATTTGGCTTGACATTAAATTGAATAGTTCTAGCTGTGACCTCTGACCCGCCCCTGGCTGCCATTTTGCCATTTACCATTTGCATATTTGCTTTTGATTAGCGCCAAAAAGTTTCGAAGCCCCACTCGAAGAGTTTTGGTAACATCTTTTAGCGCTTTGGCTAATGATTCCATAGTGGCACTTAAGCTCTAGCATACACACGCACACACACAGACACACCAGCACCAACACGAACGCCAACACACATATCCGCACTTTCCGCCAAACTTTTGACTGCAACTACAAAATATTTCCCATATTCGTTTGGCGTTTTTTCATTTGAATTTAATTTTCATGCTTGTTTTTAGCTTTGGGTTTCTGCTTGGGATTTTGGGTTTAAGGATGTTTGGCTTTTGGCTGGAGTTTGCATTAATTAAATTCACATTTTCCTATTGCGATTGCGTACAACGTTTTTTTCTTTGGGTTAGTTTTATCTTTGCCCTTGGCGCTGGGCCGAGAGGAGGTGGCGGCAATTAAAACGACATTTTTCACACGCACAGCGAAAAGCATTTTGTAATGTAATTAAAAAATATCACGTATACGACGCATGTTGCCCCGCGGGTGCGATTTGTTGCCTATTTATGAGCCCCATTTTCAAGTTAAGCCAAACTTATTTTATACTCGATTGAAACATAAACAGACGCACACACACACACACAAAATGTACGCTATTTATGCCCCATTTTATGGCTTATGATGGAGGGGAGATTCAGTTGGAATGGATCTTGGGCAGTCAGCACAAAGCGCCATTGAATAATGATATCCAGGATGCTGCGCACAGCTGTGACTCAAGTATATTTGGTTGCTTTATTAAGCCAGGAACAGTCGTAGAGCTCGTTCTTCGGTTTTTGTACTATGCAAGGAGCTCTTCCATATGATTCTCACTTATACGTTGTATTACTTTTAGAGCTGTTCTATTTGGATTTTCTATAAATTTATTTTTTTTTAGCTATAATATTTCAGAAAAATATTACTGTATTTATTTATATATTATTATTACTATATTCTTTGAAATGAAATTCATTTAAATTTGGTTGAACACGTAAGGAAATTTCATGGAACATTTTTCGATTATAAGAATTTGTCAAATTATTTGACTAAGTCCATCGATTGATTTTTGGCCGTATTCTATGATATTTAATAATTATTTACTTCCATTATACAATTCCTTTTATATATGTTTATTTTTTCATCTGAATTATAAATTCAATCCTTTTGCAAAGAGAGCTAAAAGCAATATTAAATTCATTTGGACTTGTCATAAATGTTTTGAGAAAATGTTTTATTGAATTTGCAACAAGACTGTAGACAAATAGGAACTGTCAGCACAGAGAAAACAGAAACAAGAAGAATGCAATATTTAAGCAAATATTTATGAAATTCTAAACTATAATGAAATCAGTTGTTGGCTAAGGGAGGAGGCGACTAAGCTTGGATAGGCGGCAAGTGTGTTTAATGACAAAAGTTTGCAAATCAGTAAAGCATTTTATTGCCACACACGCACGCATCAAAGAGCAGTTAGATGGCTCACATATGACATATGAAAATCTCATAATCGCTTGCTGCACAAAGTGTTCATATCACAGCGGGAGGGCGGCCGGCGAGGGTGTAGGCGTGGCAGCGGTAAGCCAAAAACTTCATATCTTGTGTGCAGGCAGGACAAACTCGTTTGACTGCATTAAAATTAACACAGCCGAGCTCACAGTGGGAGACAGGCAGATCAAGAGAGAGTGCGAGAGCGAGAGAGAAGGAAGGGGAGGGGGACGGTTACTAGAGCGAAACAGCAACAGTTGTTACTGCCATTGTTTTGTGGCATGTGGCTTGACAACTTCCTGCTGCATTTCCGCAGCAGCCGCAAAACACGCATAAAAAGATGTGTTGTCATATTACGCATACGCCGCGTAGCACGCCAAAACTTCTCTCTGTTTCTGGCGCAAGCCATTGCCTATCTGTGGCTTCTCCAACTGCAGCAACTGTAATGCTACCTGCTACCCATCTCAATTCCACCTACTCTCGCTCAATATTGAGTTCAATTTCACAATTTTCGGTACTATGTACATGTATATAAATGTATGAACGTAATTAAAAACCATGGCCGTGACAGCGATCTAATCAGCGCTGAAAATGAGAGCCGCAAATGGCTTTGACAGTATTATTTAAGCAGCTGCCACGCCCATAAGCCTGCTGCTAATAAACAAATTATAATTTCAATAAGCTTGTCGCACGTAAAACTAATTTCATACGCCCCGTTGGCTCGCAACATCAAAATCAACAGCAGCAGCACCAGCAGCATCAGCAAAATTGTTGTTTGTTTATTTTTGCTGTTGTTATCGTTGTTATTTTTGTAGTTATTTTAGCTGCTGTCAAAGTGGCAGCTGCAGCTGCCGCTGCACAGCTGCAATGTCAACAGCAATTTTCGTAAACAAATAAATAGATTTGTGCTTGAGACAGGCGCTCTAAAAGTTAATGAATACTTAACTAATGAAAATAATTTGATTGAAGTATGAATACAATATTATATTGAACACATAGAAATATGACTATCTGAACAATTATTGTAAATCCTGGATTCTCATAAATACATAATCAACTAGGAAAATTGCATTTGATGCTTGCCTAACGATCTTCCCATTAATTGAGTCTTTTCTGTTCCAAATTTGCCATTTATATCGATAAAGATACAATATCATATATCGTGGATACTTATATATCTCTCTATCTCTCTTAATCTCTCTTCTCTCTCCATCTCTCTCTCTTTTTAACTTTTCGACCTCCCCACGTGCCGTCTCTAGCCGATTCTATTCCTGTTATGAACGCATTTAGGCCACAAGCATTAACTAATCGAGGCACTGCTTTAACACCTAATTGCTTTGCAGCTGCTTACTTGGGTGCTTACAGTGCAAACGCGATGGGGCAGTTGTAAAACCTGCGATAGGCAGTTCACCAAAAGGTGCAACCAAACATTGCCATTTTCCACTCAAGCCACCCTGCCGCCAACCTCAACAACATGCCGCAAACAATGAGGCTTAGCGCCCAGTTACAAGCTGCAAGTCAAGCAGCTGCAGGGCAAACGGCAGCTGTTGCCACAACTCTCTCTCTCTCTCACACACACATTGTTTATGTGAGCGTGTGCTGAACTCCAACTGCAGCCCATCGAATTCAGTTGCAGGCCAGGGACAAATGTGGCGACGCCTACGTTAAGAAAAATATGCGAAAATTTGCCGAAGCAAACGCGACTTTCCTTGTCCCATGTCCGGGGCAAAGTTTTCCCCGGCTGGCACATGGCCAGCCCATATGTGTGTGTGTTCGTGTGTGCATGCTGGGCTGACAATAATCCAAAAGTTTTACAAGCAAAACGAGCGACCATTACATGGGCGGACGGGCAGAAACAGAAACCACTTGCAAGTAATTTTCATCAGCGACTTTTCCTCATTTTCATTTTGCCTCTTTTTTTGCATTTTACCAGGCCCTGCCACAGCTGCTGCTGACAGGCAGGACGAGCATTTTGCTTAGTGCCTGACCGCAGCTCACTGCAAATCCTGCACATACAAAGTCTGCAGAGAAATCTCTGGGTAAACGTATTTTGCATTTGGCAGCACTGCGCCCCATGTCCAGTGCCGCATCCGGGGGCGAAAACTTCATTGTCTCTGCCACGCAAAAGGTAAACGATTCGAGACCAGCCCGATAAGAAACCAATGCCAGTGCAACCACAGCCGGCATGCATAGCTCTCTACCTAGCTAAGTCCATTTGCCAGTACTTACCATAAAGCTTAACCAGCTCGAGGGATTGAGCACTACATGAACCGAGACTGGACTGGCTGCAAGCACAGTGGGTCAGGCGTAGGATATAACTGCTTACACATTTACCCAATGCCGACTGAAAAAATAAAACAAACAAATAAACATTCTTATTATTAGCTGAAGTCGACCTGGAGATACCCAGGTCATGAGATAACGTCACACATAACTATTTCAACTGCTGGCAACATTCAATTCAGATATAGAATCAACTTAAGTCTAAGGTGAAACAAACTCCATTTAACATTTCAACCATTGTGGTCTTTAGTATACAAATGATATTCAAAGTCTTGTGTGTCTTATATAGACAGGGACATCGAGACACTATAAAATCCCATATACCCGATTTCCATTTATTAAAAAATAAACACAGAAGAAAGTCAAGAAAAAATATGGTAAGAAGTGAAAAATAGTAGTTTACACTTTACACTTGCCACAATGCAGATGTAAATGGCCACGCCCACATATCACGCCCGCTGGTCAGACGCTTCGGTTACTTTCTCCGGCTGTTAATAAATTCAAAGTTTTGCTGGCAAAAACCAAACTCGGAGCAGAAAAATAAAAATTGAGTAGACAACTGTGGCAGCAGACAATTCACACACACAACCACATGCTGAGGCGTGTGTATATGTATGTGTATAAGTGAGAAAGTTTAAACTTTCTTTAAGCGTTGCATGAATTGTTTCTCTTGTGTTTTTCTTCGAATCGTGCTTGTTGTTGTTGAAGCTGCTGTTGTCCAGCTTTCAGTGTGCTACGTTAAAAAAACGTTTTACACTCTGTGCACAACATATGTGCTCGTATAGCTGTGTGTGTGTGTGTGTGTGTGTGTTTGTCAGTTTGACGGGACATTTATTTGCTTAGTTTTGAAGTTTTTTTGCTTATGATTTTGTAAAGATAATCATATAGATGCATTTATTTGCATGTCGATCGATTGAGCGTGTATCCAGATTCAGCATGTCGCCTATTCAGTAAGGGACCATATTATAGAAATGAGTTAGATTACGGCCTGGGAACTTCTAGGAGAGTATTTGAAAATAAACGAAGTTTATTCATTTTTCAATTTTATTTTTCATTTTATTAAGTACTTTTACAATAGAAGCTCAACATGCCATATATCATAGTTTTCTACATAATATTAACTTGGGTAGAACAATCGTGTATTTTGAAAGGGAATTTACGTCAAACAGGTGCCATATACAACATTTGCCATAGAAGTGCGAGAGTTAAGAGAGTAATACTTAAGCTGTCAATAGACGAAAACTTTTCGGCAACTATTGATGTTAGAGTTTATTGAGTACGCTGTTAAAAAAATGTTAAAAACGTTACCAAATTCTACAAATTCTTGCAATGTTTAGCAAAAGCTAGCTGAACTACGTCCTCTCATTATAAGTGTTCAAAGAGTTTTGTTTTTAACTAAAACACACTAAAGCTTAACTAACTATGTAAACTAGATGTCATTTTTCAAAATTTGGACCAGCTATTCCTGTTCCTGTTGTGATTGCTCAGCTTGTGATTTGTGATGTCTTGAATTTGTCGGTAAGATCTTTAGAAGCTGGGTCTGAAGCCATTGCGTTGCGATAACACTGAGTCGGGGCTCTTGAGCTCCATGGCCAGCTTGTAGCCCAGCTCGGGGCGACGATCGCGACCCTCGGCCATAGCCTTGACCTGTTCAAGTGCAAAAGTTTATCCAGTATATTCAGCTCGGTAACTGTCCAATTCTTTCACTCACCTCATTGGTGTGCACAATGACTCCATCGCTGGTAACCACCTTCTCCTTGGTGTGCTCAATGTCATGGAAATCGGTGCCGCGGCAGCAGTCGTCTATCAAGACGGTGCGATAGCCGGCGGACAGAGCGTCCACAGCCGTTGCTCCAACACAGACATCGTAGGCCAGGCCGCACACATAGATGTCCGTGGCGCCTTTCATCTTGAGCTGGGCATTTAGCGTGGTGTCCGACAACTTTTTGTTGTCCCAGAATACGGAATAGGAGTCCACCTCCGGATTGGTGCCCTTGTAGACCTTGATGCCATGATCGACCACCTTCAGATCCTTGTGCAGCTCAGCACCCCAAGAATCCTGAACACAATGACGCGGCCACAGACGCTGCTTCATAGGCGGCGGCCCGGCAAAGATGACCGTGTCAAAAACCTTGGCCGAATCGGCATCCAGCTGTGAGCATATATAAGTATATATAGGAGAAGGTATTATTAAACGTAATTGACAGTTTGTCTCGTTCACTCAACCTCGCCTGAGTAAAACACTTGGTGACTGAATCAATAAGTCGTCACTTACCGCAGACGACTCGTCCATTGCTCGCATTTTGACATTATCAATAAATGAAACATGATCGCTGGGATGCCAGTCGAGCGAATAGAAGACAGCATCAAAGTCCACCGTGTCCAGCAGCTTGTTAATGGGCTCCAGTATCTGCAAGAAAAGCAGTCATTGGATAAGTTCCCAAGCGATAGGAGATGGCAGGGGGCGAGTCAGGTCTGACAGTTGAGTCCATAAAGCGACAACGGAAGTGTGTGTTATTAATTTTGACAAATTTTCATGTTCGAGCGAGGGCAGTAAGTGCACCACTGAGCCGGGCACATTGTGGCGGGTGGGTGGCTCCGTTCAGGCAATTGCGGCAGATGGCAGCCAAGAGCTGATGTCGATGCTGCCGTCGATGCGGCTCTTGGTTGGCTTTGCCGCTGACGATGGCATCCGGCGTATGTCGCAGCGCGGATGCGACTTAAGTAAAGCATATCCGCTTCCGCCTATGCACACGCACACAGCTACAGCTACAGCTACAGCTATATTTAGAGCAACAGTATCCTTCGACGCGGGCTGACATGCAGAGCGAGCCTCAGCTTCGTCCTTGTCGTCCTTCGCGTTGGCGGCAATGACTTTGGCTCATCCTGCGCTTCGCTTCGCTGCCTCCATTTTCATTTCTTGTTACGTTTTATGTCTTTCCGTCGCCGCATACCTGCCAGCCTGCCCCGCCTCTTCACGCCATTCCAATGCCCAACCAGCCTGGGCTTTATCAGCTGAGCTGCTGCCCTATCTGTGGCCACAGCCCACGACTCGCAACTGCCAGCTTCAATATTATCTTCTTCTTGACTTCGTTTTTTTCTTTCTTTTCGCCAACTCCGGGGCTCACCTCATGTCCTTGCTGCTGTGCAGTGCAATTACTTATATCCAAGGAACCACTTATAAAATCATTTTGTACATCAACAATGAGAAACGCGTTCACCGGTCGCACAATCTGCCAAGAAAGCGAAAAAGAGAACGAGATAAAGTTATATGGAATTAGAGAGAGAACAAAATACACGAATTTCTCAACAAACATAACTTGCTGACTTCGAAATACCTTTACTTAGCTTATAATTATTTGCAGCTTACTTTATTGCTAGAGCGAACTAAAACTAATTTATATAAATTAATTTAATTTCTTGAAAAATATTTAAACATAAAAAAAAATAATTTTTTATTCAGTGAAAACAAAAGTATTCAGGAATCTGTCAGCTATGTGATATAATATCTAATGACTAAAGTAGTCAGCAACAGTTTTGAGTCTTATAGGTACAACGAAATCACAGTTCGCACAGGTAAGCACAGACAGAGAGGATGCCTAATCTTTGACAGCCGTGCGCTAATACCCTATCATGATAGGGTATTAAGAAGGTAACATGAACAGCCACGAAAAATTGTAAGAAAATTGTATGAGCAAAGTAAGTGAAGCAGACGCCACAAAAGACGTCGGGCCAAAGTACATAAGCACAAACATGAAAAGCTACAAAGAAATTTGTATACACGTGCATTAGTGGGAGTGCCGCATACGTGTGTGTGTGTGTTAGTGTGTGCGCTGATGAGTTTCTTCATTTATTCATTTTTTTCTGCTGCTCCTCCTTTTTGTCGCCGCCCATTATAAATGCGTTTTAAATGAAGTAAAAGCCAGTCAAAAAAAATGAAAAAAGAAGCTCTCGAAAAAACTGCTCACATGAGAGCAAAGAGCTCGTTAGGTTTGCTCCATTGCTATCTTGACTGGCAGCCCAGCAGCTGTATAGAGTATAGAATATCATCAGCATCATTGCCAGTAGCAGGAGCTGCTGCAGGGGCACGAGCAGCAGCAGGAGCAGCATACTCGACAGCGTTCGTCGTCTAAGCTGATTATGTTCGAGCATATTTAAAATTAGTGAAGCGCTTTTAATTTGTTATTTATGTGCACGCTGATTATGAATGATTATGATCTATGCGCAAACACACACACACACACACACACGCACACGCAGAGCAATCGAAGCGAGGACTGAATAAAGAAGAGAAATAGACTGAGAGGACAGTTGGGAGTAGCAGCAGCAGCAGTAGCAGTAGCGCAGCACGTTGCAAGCGTCATGCAAATTTAGAGAGGATTACGTGACACGTGAGTCACGAATTAAGCTGAAGTTTGACAATGTAAATTTTATAACTATCTTGATTCTATTAGTTTAAAACGAAATACGAAACTGATTTTTTTATAAATTTTAAATATACATGCAAATTCCAGCTTAACTAGTTTTAAATTGAAATAAATTTGCCATTGACAAATGCTGAAAGTGACTTCAGATGTGCCATCTCTAGATATCTATTATTTACCGCTTGTTGTTGCCAGCTTTGATTTGTGTTGCTGTTGCAACTGTTGGCAGAGCGTTTAAAATATGTCATGCAGCTAAATGCTTTAAAGCGGCCAACGTGAGTTGCAGCCGTAGCCGTTGCCGTAGCCGTAGCCGCAGCCGCAACAGCAGGAGCAGCAGGTGGTACGCAAATGAAGCTGTGCGAAGCGATGAGCGAGCGGGGGAGGTGGGAGGGAGGTGGTCTACGCTGAAAGGTTAGCTTGTTGTTGCTGCTGGTGCGGGCTAGACAGCGCTTAAGCAGTTGATGATTTATCGCCTGTTGCCAGTGGCTGTGGCACTGCCAGTGGTTGGCATTAGTGCCTCTGCAAACATGGCGGTGGTGCAGCGATGCAGCGGTGCAGCGGTGCACTGGAGCCGCATAGTTGCGGAAGTGATTTACATTTCGCATGTTGAGCATGCGACGCATTTTGAGCATAGTTTTCGGTTAGCATACTTAGAGATAATGGCCGGATAAAGGTAGTTAATGTATCAATTTGGTGCTACGTCTCTGTCTCTGTCTCTCCGTCGGTGTCTGCATGAGTTGCTCCTGGACCGAACATATATCATGCTCGGAATTAGATGTGCTCTAAATGGCTTAGCAGCCCATAAGCGGATCAGAGTTGAGCTGCTCTGCAAGGTATTAAGTGGTTTCAACTAGAACTGTCAACGTAATATGCTTCCGTCATATTGATTTCAATTGAAAATCTGTGAAGCTTGATAACAAATGATTTCCTATTTCATATTGCTATTTAATTGAAGCAATAGAAATTTCATAAATGGAAAATAAGATTATGGAAAGCAAATTAAATCTAAATTGAGTATTTTTAAGAACTCTTTAAAATATTTGTTTTCTAATTCTCTGCTGCAAATTAAGGCTCCTTCTATTTAACTCTAACAGCTTTCAATCAATTTTATCAATTAATTTTGCTTCGGTTAGTTGATCAGCTCGCCAAGCTTTCGACAACAGACCTCAAAAGTCTACGTCCATCAATTTTGGTTCACAATTTGGACATGAATTTCGTTCGGTTACCTCAACTGAGGCAGCGCCACAAGAAATCACAGGAGCAGCATCCAATTATGAACCATTTGACGCAGCTGTTGCTGTTGCTATTGCTGATGAGCCTCAATCCGCCTGCCCCACCTCAAAAGCCAAAGTAAAGTTAGCAAATTAACACGCACCTCATCCTGTCCCGTTGCCGAGCTGTGCTCCTTGGCGCTGGCTAATGCAAACAACTGACCCTTGGCTCAAGCACTTATTGTTATAGCAATTCACTCCGCCTTGCACCGCTCTGCGGCCCCTTTTCTCCTGTTGCTACAGTTTAATTTAAAGTTGAAACTATGAATGTTTGATTAAAGTGCCAAAAATTGTTCAGAGCTTGCCGCAGGAGTGAAACGAGGAGCAGGGCAGGCGGCACAAATCCTGTTCATTCATTTGGCTGGCAAATATGTTACGGCTAAATTAATTATTGAGCATTGGAGTGCGGTGCCCACAGACATGTTGTGGATGTGACACCCCACCTATCGAATGCCTTTGCTGTGTGGGAGGGTATTGCGGTATGTGTGTGTGTGTGCGGCCAAGACAAGACAAGGCAAGCCACCTTTTGGTAACCACAGCAAATCTTAAATTCAAATTACACTTCAACCCGATTCTGTCAGAGCTGGCAACAAAAGGAACAAGTTATAGAAATAACTTTGCTACACCTACAACAACCTCTCTCTCTCTCTCTATCCCTCTCTTTCTCTCTCCCTCTCTCTCTCTCTCTCTCTCTCTGGCTGGCATGTGTGGCTGGCGAAAGTTTCAGTCTTTTGGCTGCTGCCATGCAACATTTCGAGTCAATTTCAGTGCTGAATAAATTTCAAAATCCGTAAAACCCAAAGAGCCGAGCTCTTTTTGCCTTTAGTTGAGAGCTGCTGCTGCTGCTGCTCTTCCCGAGCCGCAGACAAAACTGTCAAAGTGTGCATGTGTATCTGTGTGCGGGTGTGTGTGTGTGCCAAAAAAAGTTGCCAAGCTAAACGAATAAGTACGGCAAATGGTGACGGCGACAGACATCCAGGACGAGACGAAGGCGCACGAATCGAATGAAATTCAACGTGATATTGAAGTATGTGCCAAAAGGGAAACGTGCCCACCGTCACCCACACACAGACACACCCTTACTCACACATATGTACAGGTTTGAGGCAGGTGCTAAAGCAATTTCCGTTTTGAAATTGTTGCATAAGTTGGCGGTTCTGGCAGTTCGGGGCTGGGCCTGCCATTTGGCACATACTTCACTCGCGAGCTCTCGCCCTTTCTATATAAAATATATAACTTTTTTTCTATATTTTTTGGCATACTCCTCAACATAGGCTAGACAGCACCCGAAACATTGTCGCTGACAGTTTGTGGGTTTTCGCTTCGTGCATGTGTCTGTGCGTGTTGCAGGCAACAAAATTACATTACACAATTTATGCGGCTGACTGGGACCAGAAATTGTTTGGCCAACTCCCTGACGAGCGTCTAGCGAAAACTAACTAAAAATAAGCTAGACTCTTCTACGAGCAAAACGTCTACGAAACTTTGACACATTTGCTGGCACCCAAAACACAAAAATAAAAAAAAGACCAAATGTTCTCGAGTTTATGTGCCAATAAGCGGCTTACGAGAGTGAAACTTTTGCACAATTTGTTCCAATAATCTGCGCAGCTTTCTTGCTAGTATTGTAATCTGAGATATAGGAATTTTGAAAAGTCATATTCGAAAATCGAAAAAATATTATTGTTTATAGAACAAGAAAAACATATTCAATAATACTTTATGTGCTATATGTAGAGCATAATCTTTGGCTCATTTCATATAGAAATCATCAAAGCTAATTACAGCTGGAATTCCTAGTTCTCTCAGATATCATATTAAATATCTCATAAGAAATCATTAGCAAAAATTATTGAGAGACATATTTATTTATTTTTAAATATCTGAAGAACATAAAAAACATTCCACATCAACACTTTATAGTTTCATCTCTCAGCTCCTTTTACACAAATTATATATAATTTACGGCTTTCTCTTTCCTTTTCTCTCTCTCACTCTCTCCTGCTGTATTATTCTCATTCCCTTTGATTTAATGATGCCCAATACCGTAAAGCTTTTTCTATTGGAAAAGCATTTTTCATGTCAGACAACTGCCCAATCCAATTAAACAAAAACTGCCCAACTGCCAACAGTTTTCTCACTCTCGCGCCTCTAAATCAACTGTCTTACTTCCTCTCGCAGCAGCTATCTCTCTCTCTCTCTCTCTCTCTTTACGACTCTCTTCCTCTCCCGCAGCTGGTGCTTTTTGTATGTTATAAGTCATTAACTTTCTAAATAATCGCCGCAGCGTGTCAACTTTGGTCGTTAAACTTTCATCAGCCGAGGACGCGACGGTAAGCGCTGGGATTCAGGATTGAGGATTGGGAATGCCAAAAAATAAAAAGAGCGAGACCGAGAAGAGAGTAATGAGAGAGAGAGAGAGCGGGAAAGATGAGAAAAAATTAAGCTCTCTGGACACGCGACAACGTCGCAAAAACCGGAGCAAAATTTATAGCAAGATATTATTTTCCGCTCGATGAGCAGACAAGTCGTAGGGCGACTTTTGGCACTCACTGTGCGGCGGTGTTCCTTATGACTGCAAACCCCCGCCTCAAGCCCTCTTCCTTCCATCTAGAACCTCTGGCCGTGTTTTTCGGTGTCGGTGCGTAACTGAGCACAAAAAAACTGCGGCACATTGTGCCATAAATGAAGACATTATAAACGATGCTGCAGCACGACCCACCTCAACCACCCGAGTCCACGCTCAATCTGACTGTGTGTGTGGGTGGTTATATGTGTGGGTATGCGTGTAAGTAAGTGAGCCCAAGATTAACGGTAGACATTGTAAGACACTTAAAGCTGTTGAAGATTTTTGAGTCGCTTTGTGGTTGGGGGTTCAATGAACTATATGATGACGCGCCTTATATGATATATTACGGCTTCCCAAATGTGCCAGCAAGCGCACATAACCTGCAAATATATATATATATATATATGTACATATATATATTTCCGTTGGCAATTTACGATGCTTTTGGCTAAGAGCAGGTGGCTGCCAGGCAATAAATGTATTATATGAAGATAAAACTGTTTGAGGAAATGGCACACCCACATAAAATGAAACTGCCAGCAGCTGCCTTTCTAGGCGATTCTCAGTATTATCAGCTGTGTGTTTTGTTACTCCTATAAACATTTATAGCGCGCAAATGAGTAAACAAAGACTTTAAGGTCTGTTAAATGTTGTTTTCGCATAAAAAGTACGTATACAAAAATATTAACTATAATTTATGCTTAGCTCTAAGAATTTATGATGTTATGTTAGTATTTATAGAATTACTTATATATGATTCTCTTTCTTATACATTATACTAATTATTAAGCTCTTATTTAGACAAACTCTGTTCGATAATTAAGGCTAGAAAGTTGCTTAAATGGTCTTTAAATTTACGCTGCACATTTTAAAGACTTCTTTGCCTTCATGATTGAGTTTTCAAATTTTAAATGGAAGGCAAATTTACAGCAAATTTACAGCCAATTTTGACTTGTCAATTAATAAACCTGTATACCACACTATATATGAAGCAATGCATAAGCCGCCCACTGCTTTCCCTGAGAAACCGCAACCCCTTAGTCCCATGCTGTTGCGTTCAAGTCCAGCACTTAAACTTTCAGTGAAAAAGGTCATTTTCGTGCACTTTGTCCCTCATCAAAAGCGCTGCTTGGTTGCTTCTTGTGGCGAGTGCTTGTCAGAGACCGCAGCATTAAACGCTTCACAGCACAGCCGGACGCATACACTGACAAACAACCGCTCCCACACACACATGCACACTGACTAGGTAGGAATACCTTTTGTGCAGTTGTCTAAAAAACATTTTCTGCGCATTTAAGCACATAAATTACGCACTTCACAATGAAATAATCAAAATGTAAACGCAGTTGCATTGAATTATGCCCATAAAATTTGGTGTACTGCCTGCAGCCTCTGTCCTCTCGTAGCCCTTATCCTGGTTGATTGTTTTTGGTTTGGCGGACATGAATGCCAGTCACATTATTTCCATAAATTTGCGCTCGTTTCCGTTTCCGTCGCACTTCAAACGTTTACAAACTTTATAACCAGCTGGACGCACTCACACATACACACTCAAGCCCACGCACACACAGACAAATACTCTTAAATTTACCTCAAAGCCGCGAAAAATATTTGCGAGTGATTTACGGACGTTAAATGTTCTATTTATAGGTTTTGCCATTAAAATGGGCCGCAGATTTTGGTTCTTCTAAGTTTTCGACGCTCTCGTCCAACATTTGATTTGTTTATTATGCAAATTTAGCGCCTGCCAATTGTTGGTTTTATTTATATTTTGCATTATTTTTATTTTATTATTCTCTGTCTTTTCGCCTGGGCGCAAACATTAAACTGCAAAATTACCATTTATGCAATTCATGCGGAAATACAAACAAAAGTCAATTTTATGGGACGCAATTCTTGTTGCTGTTGCTGTTGCTGCTGCTGTTGTTGTTATTATTATATATTTTTGGCAAGCCAACAATATATTCTTGCCGAAGGAAGGAGGGTGGAGGCTTCCACTTTTTAAATGTTCCCTTTATTATGATATCAGCTGCCGGAACATTTTTTTTATATGCGTTAATAAATTTTTATGCAATATTACACAATTTGGCAGGCGCGAGAGGGTGGTGAAATCATCATCGTTTAAATGGCATATCAAAAATGAAATTATTTTTGTGAAAAAATTTGTCGCGTGACAAACGAGGGCAGCGCTCAACAGGCAGACACGCGGCTAGGCGAGGTAGGCCAACCAGACAATGCGTGCCACCTACCATGCGTATACGTAATATTCTTAGTGCAAGCGGAGCACATAGGTAGGAGAGAGTTTGCTAAGAGAGAACTTTACCTAAAGATGTTGACTTCTCAAATTTGTGAAAAAGTTTGCTGCATAAATTAAAGCAATTTCCAGAAAACTTTCCAAATGTTCTTTATAAAATTAAGCGAAAATTCAACCCAAAATAATCACGGAGAAATTTTATCATTTTATGGCTGATTTCCTTATAGATCACTACAAACTTTGCTTCTTTGTAGAAAGGAAATCGTATACAAAAACTTGACAGATTTGCAAACTTGTGAAATAAGAGAGTGTTTCTGTTGATCTATGGGTATTAATAAATAATGTAAGAATATCTCTTGGCTGCATATATAAAAAATTTTATTTGGCTTAAAGATTGTAGCTATAAGTTGTTTAATAATTTATCATTTACGAAGAGTTGATAAAATTAATTGAATCTAATTAATTTTCTATTTTGTCTTTAAACTAAGCTCGAAGCTTGTCCAAGAAATTAAATACAATATGTTAATTTATAAAGTGCTGCGACACATGACAAAAACCATATTTTATCTGAGTCCAAATCTCAAAGTAGGGAATTCCTTTCAAGCGCCAACCGAACCAAAGCCGCTTCAGTCAGTGTTTCCGCTCTGCACAGAAAAACCGCGAGGCAACTATATATGTACTTAACTTTTTTACGCAACTTAATATATATAAATATAATTTACATACCAGTACATAAAAACTTTGCTTCTCTTTGCATTTCGGTTTAAATTCAAATTAAATTGTCATTTATATTAAAAGTACATTAACCCGGAAAAATCGCCGCCGAAAAGAAAAACTTTTGTTTTCTGAATATTCTAATATACAAAAAAAAGATGTGTATATATTTGTATACAGTCGGTGGCAATTGTTTGTGCCCCAGATTTTTGACTTTATTTCAAGGCTTTGATTTACTTTCATGTTGCGTGAAGTACAGAGCTATGGCAGACTTTTGAGAAGCTTTAAAGAGTGAAACATTTTCACATCACGTACGCAGTTTTATGACAGCCACTGTGGGCAACAATGTAAAAAGCAAATGCTGGAAGAAATATAGAAGAACGCGGGCCGTAAATGAAGTCGCCAAGCCGTAGACAACAATAAAATGATTCCAAATATATTTTTTTTATATTTTAATATGCGGGCAATGCGACTCGAGGAGCCAGAGGCTAACCAAATGAATGCAGCTCCGCTTTACATTTGCTGCGGCATTTTATTTGTCACGCGTTTTTATCACTTTTCGTAAAGAGAGTAAAGGGAGCCAATGTGAGAGAGAGTGTGTGTGTGTGTAACAGTCCCAGCATCAGATTATCACATTTGCATACGCCGCTGTTGCTTCGTGACAGGGCAGTGCCATGATGATGACGATGATGACGGCAAGGGATGTGATATAGGAGTTACAGCTGTAGTGAGGGTGTGGTTGTGTGTCTGTGTGAGTGTGCGCTGAAAGGCATATAACCTCATATGCAGACAGACCCGGACCCGTCCCGGTCTGACGTGTGACATTTGCTGTAAGCGACATTTTACCGTCCAACAAGGTCTGATCAGGATTGAATTACACCCACAATCCGGGACTCGGTCACTTTGATTGCAAACGCTGCGAATGAATGCGAATTTCGGCTGTGTTTGTGCATTTGTGTGCGTGTGTGTGTGTGTTTGAGTTTTTATGACGCAACTTCCGCGCAGCAAAACGTTGACAAATATTTTATTATCACATTTTATGATTTTATGAGTCCCCGGATATGAATCACTGAGTGGTGAGAAGCTTGCCAAACCGACCCCACACACACCCAAACCCACACACACGTAGACGCATAATAGTGGATGATGGGCTTAAGTACACAAACACACACATATAATCAGAGCTTTGCTTACCGTTTTTATCCATTGATTCCAGCAAAATTTAAACTCCTCCCTATCGATGAAGCCATCTCCGTTCTTATCAAAGACAGCGAATATTTGCTCGAGGCGTTCGTGTGGCACATCGTAGATGTGGCCCTTGTCATTGCGGAACAGAGCACGGCAGATTAGCGTAAACTCAGCCAGATTCAGGCGGTCATCGCTGAGTGGGAGTCGCGTCCCAGCCAAGGTGAATCAGGCATGAAAATAAACGAGAGCGCAAGATAGAGACAGGTGGCAGATAGAAAATAAAGTTAGTTTCTAATATCAAAATCAAAATCAAATGAGAGCACCGGAGCAGCAGCTACATTGAGTCGGGCCATGGGAGACTACTGGGCGAATGGGCGTGGAAGAGGGCGTCTGATGTTTCCATAAGCTCGGCTGTAGCTGCCAGTTGGGGTTGTTTGTCATCTTGACTGACTAACAGTTGGTAGTTAAGCTTAAAGTTCCATTGAGATTTCACTTATTTATATCATACTTTTTGGGGCCCGCCCTGAGCAACAGCAGCTGCTTTCAATTTGTTTTGCGTTTAATTAAGGTAAAATTAATGCGATTACGTTTATTGATTTGCGCTTAAAATGAATGGCACCATAAAACTGTTGAAAATGTCAATTAGAATTAATTTATGCAACATTTACATTAATTTTTAATTCAACTTGTGCGTACATAAATTAACTTAGATTTCGCCCACAAACGCGTCGAACGCTTTTATTTATTTACTTTTATTTTTTTAATAATTAATACCGGCCGCAACCTTTGTTGACGCTGGTAATTCACTTAATTTTATTTATTTATTTTAATGATTCATAACTTTTTTCAGCTTAAGCATTTAATACGCAATTTTAACTGGAAATCGAATTAAATGCGAACTCAATACCAATTTGCTGCATCATTTCATAGGGCTCGAGTAGATGGGAGATAAATCAAGAGTTGTCTAGGCTGAGTTATACTTAATAGCTCTTATACTCAATATGCTTTTCAGTTATCTCACCTACCATCATAAATATTAAAATAAAAATTCAAGTTTCTCAAAACTTTTGATATATTTATAACTTATTTTTTTATTTTATTAATTTTAAGAAGTTATAAATAGTTGATTGATTAAAGAATTTTGCTGAAACTTTTGATATACATATATATTTATATATTTTTTTATTTTTGATTTTTTTTTAACTTTAAGAAATTATATATTGTTGATTAATTAAGGAGTTTTGCTGAGCTTAATAAAATATTCCTCTACTGTATGCATTCCACAGGGTATGCAAAAAGAATTATAGTTAAGGAACTTTACGCAACATGATGCAAAAAATGTATTAATTTTTTAAGACAATTAAAAAGCATTCACCAGGCAAAACGTAATGTTTATTAAATCAGTTAAAATAATTATAGACTTAGGCTGTATAACATAGCTCATATTATTAGCGTTATTTTCAATTTTCATTTATATTTTAAGTTAATTATTAATTATTTTATGTATTTTTATTTAGAATATTTTGATTGTTTTTCATATTTATTTTTATTCAATCACTTAATTATTTTATCACATTTAATATTTTTTTTTTAATTTTTTCTTTGTTTTTTTTGTAAATTTTTCGCCTGTTGTCTGTCTGTTTGATACGCACCCATCCTTGTCAAATGCCGTAAAGCAGGCGTCCATTGCTGAACCGTTCGAATCCTCGATGACAATTGGCGGTGTTGGTGAATCCATAACTGTGACAACGTTGCTAACGTGTCCAAGCAACAAACAACTGGAGCGCTCGGTGTGCGGGTTCTCTGAACTTGCCACTTAATGAAGCACGGAGACGAAGCCAACTGCAAGTTAAAGTGAAACCATCAATAATAACGCTAGCACAGACACACATATGCGCGCGCGCGCCACGCCCACTGCCCACTTCCCTTTGCCGGAATTCGTTGAGACTAATGTTTGGTGGATGGGTTAGTCTGGTGGTTTCCCGGCTTACCCGCTCAGTTTGAATGCCCGCTAGTTACTGAGCCACCGGCTGAGGCCCGCTCCGATGCTCGCCTTGCAATAGATTTATCGAATAAACAACGCTCCGCCCGCACCACCTGCACCACTCGCATTGTCATGACGACGACGTCATCTTGTGGTTTATTTTATTTATTTGATTTCACGCCCCACCCATTGCCAGAATCAGCCAAGCGAGAGCGGCTTTTGTGGCTGCGCCCGCAGCTATTACCTGGCGGCCTTTTTCCTAATCAAAAATTGCGCATTGTGTAAGCCTTTTGTGGTTGTTGTTTTCGTTATTGTTGTTCTTGCTGTTGCTTTTGTTGTGGAAACGTGAAAATGTGAAAACGCCTTTGCAGCAGTTGCCACAACAAAATGCCAAAAGCTGCAGCAAAGTTTTCAACTCGTAACCATAAAAAAAAACAGGAGAAAAAAACAAAATCAAGAAATGCGGGCGAATCCGGTGCAATTGCCAACGAACTGTGCGAAACGCGATATATGCGAATGGAGGCGATTTTAAACGCGTCGAAAGTACAGTTGCGCACACACACGTCATGGTTTTGGCCTGGTTTTTGATTGGCATAGGTTTCTTCTGCTTGCTGAAAGGAGCGCTCCACTCGTCGAGTTGAAATCAAGCTCTGACTAACAAGGCCAATTGTTGACATGTTGAGTGGGTTTCAGCTACTTCTTCGTCGACGAATGACAATGAGAATTTTGCCACTGAACAACTTGGTAATGATTAACTGCTTGCATACCTAACTATATGTGGCTACGTATTTACCTTCTCGAAGATTATAGCTAGCATAAGAGAGCTCTACTTGTAATGATTTGAATACCTATGATCATAACATAGTGACAATGATAATGATATGGACATCACTAATAATATTTGCTCTAGCAACTCGCGGCTTTCTTCTCCTTATGTAGGGATTCATAAATATCATAACGAAAGCGAGATATCCGCTCCAAGTTCAAGTGCTGCTCTTGCAAAAATGATTACCTCTTACTACAAAATTCAAATGACAACAATAATATTAATATGAATTTAAAATATAATTTAAAGTGAAAATCTGAGTACAATAAATAGTATAACTTGAAACTACCCACAGCATGCCACATTCAGTTAGCCGCCTTCGCTTCAGCTTCAGCCTAAGCTGTAGGCTGCGTAATCCTTCACTTTGCCGCCCCCGTTAACAATTGCCACTCTTGGGCTGCAGTCGCCAGCAGGTCGGCAACCAGAACAAAAGTATATAAGCCATAAAGCCATAGATTTCCATTTAACTTAAAGTCGTAGCAAAGCAAGCAGGCAGGCAGGCAGGCAGTCAAGCTCTAAGCCGGGCACTGTACATGTTGTGTCGACATATACGAACTAATGCGCAGCGAGCAATAAATTTAAATTTATATGGATGTTTACTTAATATTAAAGATTTATGCACAATATGTGGGCAAAGCAACTGCAGCAGCCCATTCATGCATATATATATAAATATAGGTGGAAAAGGTCTAATAAAATAAAAATATGGCACAGCAAATGTGACCGGCAATGGGGCCTGGTCATGATTTATGCCTGGGCATACAAACCAATTCCTGACCTATGATCCCTTAGCTCCGCCCCCTTCCGTTTTCTAGTCGCATGAATCAGCAGTAAAAATCTGTAAAAGGCCAGCCGCCACATAAAACCCATAAATGATTACTCAGTTAAGAGTCTTCTCTCCATTTTCTGGTTTTTGTACTTTAATATACTGGAAACTTGGCCGCAGATAAGTAAATAACAAATAACAAACAATTTTAAGGACGGCTTGAGTGTGGTCTTTATGCTGTTCGCGTTGTGCTACAATAAAAATGCGCATAATTTGCGCTGAGCTAAACAAAAGTTTCGCCCAAATAAACTTAAGTACAACTCCCCAAGGTGAAGGATGGATGGGATGGAGCGAGATGGCCTGTGGATTGGGTTTCCAGGCGCCACAACACTAATTGAAAACTATTTTTAGGCAACGGCCCCCTTTGCCCAGGCGGGGGGTTAATATGTAAATGGAGGATAACGCGAAATGCGCAAAACTTTTGCTGCCAAAACAATTTACGCGGCATTAAGCAAAACGCAAACGCAAACGCTCACCTTACCAGGCCCTCAACAACGAAGCTGCCTTTGCCAGCATATTTTTTTTTCGTGCGGGGCTTCCAATTGTTTTCGATTAAAGTTGTCGACGTCAAAGTCATTGACTAAATAAAAAGCATCATAAAAGTGAAAGCAGTTAGCCCCGACCCCAATCCCCTCGCCAATTCCCCCCAACCCTAGCCTCACCCGCATCAAACGGCAAAAAACTTTGACAATTTTAGCAAATAATGAAGCCCGCACGTGTCGAAATTGTTTGCTTCAGGTGAGACAGTCGAAAGGTGAGACCCGAGTTGGCACCCAAGAAGAACTTAATCCTGACTGCTTGACTGTGACTGAAGCTCCAAACTTTGACGGAATAAGAAACCTGAAAGACACTTTAAGCTCAACTTTCCACCAATCATTGGGGGCATTCGCATTATGAAAATTAAAAAAAAAAAACAAGAAAATGCGTGAGATTTGAGATAAGCCAAAGGCAAAGAGAATGTTTCTTGTCTTAAATCGAGCTTACAAAAAGTTGAAATTATCTTCTGAATACTGGAACATGAATGTTTTTGTGAAGAGGCTTATTGAAGCTACTGTCAAAGGCTTGAAATATTAGTACCGATGAGTTCTATGTTCTTTCTATAAAAGTATGTATTCAAAGAGTATTAAATATCGAAATCTTAGATGCTTATAAAATCTGCAATACATCACAATTCAAATAGCTTGGGATACAAAAGAAAGCAAGCGCAAACTATTTACATGCCAAAATGAAATGAGCCCAAACGGCCCAACCGTAGTTTCCTTTATATAATCACTGGAGCCAGCGTGTCGTCGAATCAGCCATAAACAAAAATCAGGGCTCCAAATCTTTGAAGAAATTTAGTGCCTACTCATCAAGCCTGTCGCAAAAACTGTTACTCAACGAAGACGAGGCGGAACGTGAACAGCTAAGCGCTGATGGTTGAACGCTGAACGCTGAACGCAGAACGCTGAAAGTCTTGCATAATTTGCCAGTTGGGGCACTGAAAAGTAAATTACCGCCTAAGACTTCCTGCTTTGCTGGATGGGGCCGCGTCAAAAGTGGCTTGTCAAGCCGGTGGGATCAGCTAATAAACCACGCAATGCACGCGGCCTGACTGACGGACTGGGGCACGAGCACGGGCACGGGTACGAACAGGAGCAAGAGCAGGAAACATCCGCTAAGTGGCACGGCGCATTTAAAAGCAAACGCCCCGAGGTCGTGCCACAGTTTTGTTAGGGTGCTTGGCTGTGTGGGCGTTGGGCCCGGTAGCGAAGCCAGCCATCAATTGAATTGCCAAAAAATTTAGCAGCTTCTGCTGAAGCAGAGCCCCAACCCAACGCCTATAAAAGCCTTTCAATTTTTTCGCTTTTTATACCCTCCTTGTGAGCATGCAGAAATGTTCATGAGGCTTGATCTATATAGCTATATATGTATATATATATATATATATATATATATTACTTTTTAATTAGAATAGATCAGTTGGTTCTTAAGGGGGATAGGGAATCGAACAGAAAATCTGCCGACATCTTAGCCGCAATTACAGCCAGCTCCTCTACTATGTTACTCAACCACTCGGAGGGATCGACGTACATTACTCAATCTGGGATAGCGTAATCATATGCAACCTCTTTATGCCACAGAACACTTTAAAGTCTGATGATAGGAAACTGTAGTCTGTAGTCTATGAAGACAACTTTTTGCCATATAATTGCAAGCGTATTCAGTTTTTGGCATACGGAATGTGTGGGCAAACCTTTTCTTCATTTTCGCATACATATTCTTTTTTTTTTTGGGGAGCCGTGTTCTTTGGGGCTTGCTTAATGCAGACACGTCAGCGGCAGGCAGGAGAGCAGCCGCTCAGGACGACATGGGCCAGACATTGATGGATACGCAGCGTGGAATGCCACGTCAGCAGCTCTGCCCGTGCCATAGCATTTGGCTTTTGGCTACATTCCACACACTTGCCATGTGGTCTGGCCATTAACAGTGCATCCCTGCTCCGCCCACACCCTTCACTTGCCCCGCCTGGCAGTAGGTGTCAGAGCTGTACCTTAGTTTGTCAGCCACTCAAGTGTGTGCTGGTGTGTGTGTGTATGTGTGTTTGTTGGCAGCTGCGTGCTGGCCTTTTATCACTTGTTAGTATCTAAAAATACGTGGCGCACATGCCGCCTTTCATTTCATTTCATTTTATTTTATTTGGTTTCATTTCGTTTCGTTTCATTTCTTTACCTGCCGCGCGCTTAAGCACAAAATGATAAATTGCCATTTTGACTGTAGTGCCGCCCAGCCTTTTCCCAAGCCTTTGAGCCAGGACCCTACCCCACCTTCAATCAACTGCGATGCCCCGCCTGCTTGACACGCGCCCTATCCTTTACCAGGCCGCGTGACCTCGGCGTGCTCAGCGCAGCGCTAAAAATGTGCGAAAAATCGAAAACTTCATGAAAATGAACTCGAATGCTGCACGCGCTATGGGCGCGGCTTGGACCAAAGCGGCTGCAAGCGACTAGAGATGGCCCCGTGCCAATCAGAAATCAGATCATAACGTATATGCGTCGTGTCGAAATTTGCTGTTTCGATCATATTAAGTCACGATAATGAGTATTTATGGCGCGCTCAGCA